CTCGGAAAAGGAAGGGGAGACCCTTCCCCTTGGGCGCCCCACCTTCCGGGGGTCTCCGCGGACCGAAGACCGAGGGCTCCAGGCGCGCCGGCGCGGCGCGGCCAGCAGGGGGCGCGTGGCTCGTCCGCCCGCTTCCCCAGCCCCGGGGTTCTGCCCTCATGCCTCGGGGCACCCACTCTCCTGCCGCGCGTCCGGAGGACGCTCCTCATTATTTTGCCTGGTGTTGGGCCAAGGCAGTAGACCTCACCCCCCAGCCCAAGGTGTAGACACAGTTGGCTGACTTGTTCTGTAGGCTCAGGAAATACTTCAGGCCTTGTGGTCTCTGTTTCACAACTTTGTGGCTGTAGCAGGAAAGCAGCCAAAGACCATACTAAATGCATGTGGTGGTGTTCCAGTGAAACTGTTGACTCTGAAATTTGAATTTCATGTATCAGGAAATATTTTTTCCGACCATTTAAATGCAATGTGTTCTACTCCAGTGTCCGATATGAATGAATATAGTATCCCAGGTGTAGTTTTTAAAATATTTTGTTTATTCATGAGAGATACAGAGAGGCAGAGGGAGAAGCAGGCTCCTTGAAGGGAGCCTGATAGAGTCAATCCCAGGACCCCAGGGTCACGACCTGAACCGAAGGCAGACGCTCAACCATTGAGCCACCCAGGCGCCCCTCAGGTGTAGGCTTTAATCAGTGTACAGTGGAGTGAGATTATTACTTTTCAACTTCTGGGTATAGATCAGATTTAGAATGACCTGAGATTTTTCTTCAGGAAAAGACCTCTAAACAACTTGGCACAGGAACTTTATTTGGATGCTTCTGTCTTCCCTATGGGTAAGCCACAAAGGGCCCCAAATTTTTGGTGGGAGATTTCCAGTCTTCTACACTGGGAAGGACAGTTATCAGAGAAGTGATATGCCAAGGGCCCTGAGCATCCCTCCAGTTCCTGCTGGTATGCCAAGAATGCAGGCTTCATTGTCTCTACCTGGGCCATTTATCAGCCTTGTGTGTATAGCAAGTATATATGCAGGATGGGGGCACCTGGGGGTGAGGAGACAAAGAGCACGTTTGCTCACAATTCACTGTAAAGGTAGTGATTCCCCCAGGCTTTCCTATAACAGTCCACTGTTGCTGCTGGAATCCAGGGCCCACCTGTGTCACCCTCTTGCAATTTGGGGTGGGCGTGCAAGTCAAGAATAATTGGCTTAGATGTGAAGTCTGGCTGCTTTTGCCCGGAGTAAGAAAGTGCTTTGTCTATGACCCAGGAGCCTCATGTCTTCTCCGTCTATGAAATAATGACAGGCTAGTTTATCAACCCCTGCGAGGTAAAATCCCAGGGCCTTTAAAGTCCTGGACATGTATTTTTCTGAGAATGGAATCTTCTTGATTGTTGTGCAGAAATGCCTGCAGAGTTGCACTCATTTACTGAGGGGCCTATTTACCATGTGCAAGGTGCTGTATTTGGTATAGGAGACACAGAAATGAGTATAATAGTCTCTCCTTTGTTAGGAGCATATTCTCTAGAAGGAAAGATGGCCATTCTTCTGAAGGTCTTAACTTTTATTTTTTAAACTAAGCTCTACTCACGATGTGGGGTTCAAACTCGCAACTCTGAGATTAAGAGCTACATGCTCTCCCAACTGAGCCACCCACATACCCCTACTCAGTATTCTTGTTTCTCTAACATCCCAATCTAAATCCTTAGTGAGTCCTATACTCTGCCTTCAAAACATACTCAGCATCAGGTCATTTCTCACCACCTCTGCTGCAACAACTATTTCTCCTCCGAATCTCTGTAATAGCTTCCTACTTCTGCCCTTGTTGCATTTTAGAATCACCTGGGGAACTGAAGAAATACTGATACCCAGTCTCCATCCCAAGTGAAATAAATCCGCATCCCTTGAGGTGAGGCCCCAGCATTGGTAATTTTAAAAGCTCCCAGGTTCATTCCAATGTGCAGCTGAGAGTGAGATCCACTGCTGTTGACAATGAGAAGACACTAGGGTTTCAAGCAGATGGTGACCTCGTTGAATGTACTACTCCACCTGTAGAGCTGTGGTGGCCTTAAATGTTTTCACAGGACTTCAGCAAAAGTGTTGGAAGAGGGCAGCCCCAATGGCCCAGCGGATTAGCACCTGCCTTCAGCCCAGGGCATGATCCTGGAGACCTGGGATCAAGTCCCACATCGGGCTCCTCCCATGGAGCCTGCTTCTCCCTCTGCCTATGTCTCTGCCTCTCTCTGTGTCTCTCATAATTAAATAAAAATCCTTAAAAAAAAAAAAAGTGTTGGAAGATACATTGAAAGGGGTGAGACTGGGGCAGGGTGAACACTTACTCATTATGAAATGATCTTAACAAGAGTTGATTAAAAGCCTGAAATGAGGTAGTGGCAGTGGGGATCGAGAAGAGATGGAACTGGAATATATGGCAATAGGCTGTAACTACAGGTAAAGAGCAACGCAGCTTCTAACCTTCCAGCAGTTACTGTGAATTTAAAAAAAAAAAAAGATTTTGGGGTGAAAGTTGTTTTAGATTAAACCCCCAAAGGTACTTCTGAGTTACTTCCAGGCAAGAACATTGACTAACCTGGTTCTGAAACTTGGGAAAGATCTGGGTGGGAGACCAAAATTGAAATGGGAGTAGAGAGGAGTGCATTCTTTGTTGGGCTATTCTCATTTTTAAAATGTCAATTTAAGAAACCGTATAGGAAGGGAGACAAAAACAAACTTCCAATGCTCTAATCTCAACAAAATACATAATTTTATAAAATCATAGGTACATACTGTTTGTGCTCTGAATTTCCATTAGCATTAATCTTACAGGAAGAATTCAACTAAGTGCCAGAACCATGTGTTCCAACTCTTATTGTCACTGTATGACTATAGGACCTCAGGCAAGACACTTCAGCATCATGGGTATCACTTTCCCCATCCATCCAGAGGACTCAGTGTTGCTTGCAAGCTCACACATATATTTATACATATCACTATAGTGCACATGCTCGCCAATTTTAATGGCTATAGTGTTCTAAGGGGCTAATAATTGTAGTGAAATATAGAGCCATGAAGAGAATAACAGAAATAGAGGACTAAGTACATTTACAGGCACATGCAAGTGAATCAATACCAGAAGATATAGTTGAAGAATGAAATCTAACACTCTTAAAGCTGTGAAAACCAAATAAAAGTTCAGCAAGAAAAACAAGCACGTAGATTTGCATGAAACAGATCCTCAGGATTCAAAGCTAGATCTTACCAGAAACCTGCTTTGAAGAATGTGATGGGAAAGATGAGATTAGCTTATAAATATGTAAATTATCAGGACATATAACAGTTAAAACATACTAGGTATATTTTAAGTTGCTGTCTTAACTGCTAATTAACCAGAGAACTGACAAGCTCCCTTAAAATCTGCTGGCCTTGGCACAAGATCTCATGTGGTTACACTTGATGCCTTCTAGTATACAAACACTTCCGTCCTCTCCAATTTAGCTGTATGCTTCCCAGTTTGTCCCAGTATGTAATTACATCTCTACGATTATTGTGTAAGTGATGAAATGGGTGCAAAGAGTTGCCTTTATGAGAACTTAAGTTGAATGGTTGGAAAGACTAAAAGGCTACTTGCTAATGACACTCCAGAAGCAAGGAGCATGCCTAGTGCCCAGATCTTGGTTTCTAAATATTTGCCTATTTAGTCAAAGATTGAGAAATGGCTCATTCATTCCATATCCAGGGCATTGAACCCAAGTTATGTCATGTCACAAGAAATGAAGTCCCTAAAGACCAGAGGAGGAATGCCAGAGGATGAAAGGGCTACTTGAAGGGCTCCAACTGGCCAAGTTTGGGACAATTTGAGCAACAGAGACAATGGCCACAATTGATTTTGAATACATGGAATCACTTGTCATCACTGCCAACTCCTTACTCTGAAAACTGGTAAGGAAAGGAAGATTTTAAGTATGACTTTACCTCTAGTGCATTCCCAGCTGATGACAGAAAGCTCTGTCCTACAGAATTATGCATCAGTAAACACAGAAGGAAAGAAAATTGCCATTTTGCAAATCTTAGAATATGTGCTGCCAAAGCAAGCACACTATTTTGCAAATCTTAATGAAATAACTGGTTCAGGGAGTGATCATCCTCACTGGATATTAAAACTTCCACATGACAGATTGTTGGTAAACAGGTTATCTGTATGCTGCCAAAGTAGCAGTCCACAGATGAACCACTACAGGAAAAACATCTTCACATTGGGAAGACAGGGTGGTTACCATGTCACCTGAGTGATCAGGTTTCACATCACTGATAGTCAACCAAATGTTAATCAGACTTTTGATGTGATGCAACAGGAAACACACCTGTAAAGTGTTAATGTTAAACATGCTGAGCCCGAATCCAGTCAACGTTTTGGCCCTAAATGCTAGTTTACAGAAAACCACAGGGGTCACAGGAACCAGATAAACCACATATAAACAATCAGTTAAATCTTGAATGTGAGACATTCTACAACTGACCTGCTATATTTAAAAGAAAAAAAAAAGGTTCTGGAGAAAATCAGAAGTGGGAGACACCTTGATAGATGAAACAGATATAACAAGTAAACATAATGTGTGAAATGTGACAGCATCAACAGGGAAAGTTTAAACAGGAAGCATTAGATATTTGAAAATTACTATTCATTTTTTGAGGTATGTAATGGAATGTGGTTATGTGAAATTCTTTCCTTATTTTTACGAGATGCTGAAGTATTGGATGAAATGTCTAACTTTCCAACTGTTCAGTAAAAAATGTTAACATTTTAAAGCTAGGTGGCAGATATACAGTTTGTTTTATTAACTTTTCTGTATATTTCAACACCTTTGTAGTAAGAAAGTTGTGGAAAATAAGACTGCTAAAAAAAACTTGGATTACGAGTGGCTCAGACAACTGTAAAAGTGGGAAAAGTACAAAAAGATCTAGGATTCTCCATTCTTCTGGTGTTTCATAAGGATATCAATTGCCTCAGTGGATCAATGGAAGACTTTATAAATGCATTATTTACATAAAACTCACAAAGGCAGGAAATACAAATTAAAGCAAAGGTGCTATGGACTATAATACTCCACACATTCATGCCAGGATGGAAAACAGAAGTGGTATGTTAGGTATGAAGTGGCATTATAAATAAAAGTCGTATCTTAAATACAATGGTTATTTTCTAACATGGTAACTATGGCATAAGCATAACTTGACTATTATGCAACCTGAAGACAATCTACACTTTGTGAAGAAAGATTCCATGACATCAGGGTTAGCTGGTGTGAGGCTAAGGGAAAGCAATAACTTGAAGAAAACACTCAACAAGAAAGCCTTGAAGATGCTAGCACCCCAGGTCTTTCCTTCCGGCACGTGTTTGTAGGATGTCCTTATCAACAGTAACATCCAAATGAAACCGCATGGTCTCAATATATGCTTAAATTTATATTTACGGCACCAGAATTTGTATCAATTTTTCTTCATCCAGCTCAGGAAAACTTCCTGTGCAGAGATGTCTGTCCCGTGATCTCTTTAGGATATTCCCCACTGTTAAGATGTAGAATTCTGATTCTTCAATTTTAGGTAGTTCCTATTACCCAATAAATAACAGTATTTAACATTTCTGTGCACATACGTACAAAAAAAGAATTTAAATTCAACCAGTTTCACTCCGTATCTGTTAATTCTTCCTTATTACTCAGTTCTAACTTACCTACTCATTAATTCAACAAACATATATTTGACCACTTTCCATATGCAAGGCACTGAAGAAACAAATTGAGCAGAATGAAATCTCAGCTCTCAGAATACAGTCTTATATTCTGGTAGTGGAATGCTGTGGATATGAAATTTATAGTATTTTACCTAGAAATAAGTAAAATTTGCATTTCTGCCAGTTTTCCTTTTTTATGTTTAGGATCCCCCACAAACTTAGTTATTATTATTGCAACAATGATAGTTTCTGCATCAGTGCTTTTCCCAATAAATTTGTTTTCTGACATTTTAAAAGCAATTCCCAGTTATACTTATATGTATGAAAAAGTACTAATTCCAATTATTCCTTTTTAAAATCAGTCATTTCATCTTTAGTTTCTTCTTAATAGGCTGGATTTTGTCTTATTCCATTATCTGCTCTTACTTTTTTAAGTAAACCAGGTTAACAGCTCATGCTCTAAGTTACCTGTGCATTCTTTCTTCCCTGCTAAGTATTCACCCTTTTCTCCCTGACCCTCTTTCTGTAGTGCACTTAAATCTACCTTCTATTACTTATCTTTTCCTCACACTTTGTAAGTAGCTGCTTTCACTACTTCTTTGTCTTGGGATGGGGGGGGTCACATTCAGCAACCCATTTTAGTAGGCTTATGTTCATTCTGTGACATGTCCTTTGTCATCTTTCACTTTAGAAAGCTTTCTGTTCTTAAAATAGCTGTTTTGTTTTGTTTTGAACACAATAAGCCCTGAAAGGATCCAATTAGGAAGTTTGGGCCTTGAGCACAGTAGGCACTCAAGAAATGTGTCTCAACAGAAACAGGCTTTCTGTGGTAAAACAGCCAAAGGGGAACCTTAAGGAATGAATTTAGGAATCAGGTGAAACAAAAATGGGAATTTTATTCTTGTTTTTCCTTCAGGACAGATGTCAAAACCTAGTGAAACTAAGGCTAATAGGTTTTAAAGATGAATTTAAGGTTGGATGTTTAAGTTTTGCCTTTTTAACTAAATTTGTACAAATGTCTAAGGATTATATATACATTAGTTTATCCTAACAGATCAACTTCCCTTAAGTTCTTCCTTGAGTATTTCAATATTTAAAGGAAAATGTGACTAAATGGTTGTCACATAAAAATTAAGATACTTTCGACTATATATATTTTGCAATCTACTGGCTCCGCATGGCAGTTATGGCATAATAGGAAAAGGGAAGGGAACCCTTTATATATTTAAGGCTTCAAAGCTGGGAAGAAATAAAGGTCTGAAAGCAGCTTCTTCAATTATCCCAAGATCACTCACTAGTGTGAAATCCCTACTTGATGGAAGCTTCCCCAAGTTACATTCACAAGGTCTCATTAAGAAGTACGTGAAATACACTAAGAGTTGATGAGTTACAGATTTTTGAGTACTCCTACTGGGTTTCTTTCTGGAACTAAACTGATATCAAATAAAGGTTAAGAAGTGAATAAATTTTTCTCTTCAAATTTCACATTAAATTTAAATAGCTTATATCCACATTACTAATTCTGACACTTCTGCTGAAGGACATCTAACATATATTGCACTTCTCTTAGGTTTCTTTTGAATGTTTTAACAAAGTACAAAATAAAATTTGGATGAATTGAAAAACCTAAACCGAAGTCTCATTAATTATGATGTTTGGCACCTGTATGAACACGCTGATGCTGAATGAGGTTCGTACTCTGGGTGAAGGTTTTACCACAGATACGGCAGGCGTAGGGCTTCTCTCCCGTGTGAATTCTCTGGTGTTGAATAAGGCATGTTCTCTGGCTAAAATCTTTATCACATTCATTACATTTATAGGGTCTTTCTCCAGTATGAGTTCTCTGATGTTGATTAAGTGATGAGGAATAAATAAAAGCTTTCCCACATTCGTTACACTTATACGGCTTCTCTCCAGTATGAATCCTTTGATGTTGAGTAAGATTGGCACCCTGTCTATACGCCTTCCCACATATATTGCATTTGAAGGGTTTTTCTCCGTTATGAATCCTTTGATGTTGAGTAAGGTGTACACTCTGGCTGAAGGCTTTCCCACACACACTGCATTTGTATGGTTTCTCCCCAGTATGTGTTCTATGATGTTGAGTAAGGTTTGCACTCTGGCTGAAGGCTTTTCCACATATTTTACATATATAGGATTTCTCTCCAGTGTGAGTAGTCTGGTGTTGAATAAGAGTTGAGGAATGAGCAAAGGCTTTTCCACATTCATTACACTTATAACACTTTTCTCCAGAATGAATTCTCTGATGTCGAATAAGGTAAGTACTCTGACTAAACACTTTCCAACACTCATTGCATTTATATGGTTTCTTTCCAGTATGTATTTTTTGATGTTGAAGAAGGTGTGTACTCTGGCTGAAGGTCTTTCCACATTCGTTGCATATATAAGGTTTTTCACCAGTATGAACTCTCTGATGATTAATCAACGATGAACTGTGGCTGAAGGTTTTACCACATTCCAAGCATTTATATGGTTTCTCTCCAGTATGGGTCCTTTGATGTATAGTAAGGTGTGCACGCTGACTAAAGTCTTTTCCACAGTCATCACACTTATAGGGTTTCTCTCCAGTATGAATTCTCTGATGTATAGTAAGGTGTGCACGCTGGCTGAAGGCTTTACCACACTGGTGGCATTCATATGGTTTCTCCCCAGTATGCATTCTTTGATGTGCAATAAGGGATGAGATATGCCTAAACTCTTTCCCACATTCTTCACATTCATGAGATTTTTCTTTGGCATGGGTACTTTGGTGTTTCACAAAGGATGGGTTTTTCCTAAACTTTTTCCCACACACATTACATTTATAAGGCTTCTCTCCAGGATATATCTTTCTATGTACAATACCATAGGAGACATGATTGAAGGTTGCCCTGCCTTCATCATACATAGTTTTATTATCTGATTGGGGACCGAACTGAATAACTAGGTCTGAATGCTTTTCAAAATTATTTCTATATATATCATATTTACTAAAACACTCTTCCATAGGGTCATCTTCTTTTGTGATGACTGACTTCAAAGTGAAATTTCTTTCATTAGTGGGTATTTTCCTGAAGGTATCTGCTGCTTGCCTCTCGAATCTTTCATCATAGTCACAGGGTTCTTCCAATTTGATGGTCTGAGTTCCAGTCTTTGTGACTTTAGAAATATTTGTAACTGGAATACACTCTTGGGGTTCTGTTTTCCATTCTGGATTAAAAAGAATATAGAATATAGAAAGTTTTCCTCTATTTGGAGAAAGGAAACTGTCCAAACAGAAACAATATATTGAACACGAATAAAATGCCTAAAAATACTATGGCTTCAACAACTTTATAACATGGTACTCAAAGTTTGGGAAAAGAGAACACAGGGGCAGAAAACCAGAGGGCAAAACTGTTGAAAAAGGAGAGGCTCCTCACTACTCAACAGGGGCACAGATTAATAAAATAGGCTTGGTCAGATGACAACACTAAGAGATGTGAAAACACCGTTGGATAACATGAGAGGACTTCCTGGATTGATTTGTAGAAAGCAGATACTAACTCTCATTGAATCCTTCCAACCTACTCTGCACAATCCACACAGCATTCCAAAAGCAATTTCAAGGACAGCTCTCCATGCCCAAATATTCCTGGTAAATCTCTCACAGTTAATAATACTCAAAGTACAGTCCCGAGACCCATGCATAAACACACTATCACCTGAGAATGTGTTAAATTATTGGACAAACTGAATCAGAAACTTTGAAGGGAAAAGACCCTGAAGAGCCAAAGGAATGTTGAAAAAGAAAACCAGGGATCCCTGGGTGGCGCAGCGGTTTGGCGCCTGCCTTTGGCCCAGGGCGCGATCCTGGAGACCCGGGATCGAATCCCACATCGGGCTTCCGGTGCATGGAGCCTGCTTCTCCCTCTGCCTGTGTCTCTGCCTCTCTCTCTCTCTCTCTCTCTCTCTATCATAAATAAAAAAAAAACTTTAAAAAAAAAAAAAAAAAAGAAAACCAAAGCTGGTGGCATCATAATTCTGGACTTCAAGCTGTTATAAAACTGTAAACATCAAGACAGCACGGTATTGGCACAAAAACAGACGCATAGATCAATGGAATAGAGAATCCAGAAATGGACCCTCAACTCTATGGTCAACTAATCTTTGAGAATATCCAACAGAAGAAAGACCATTTCTTCAACAAATGATGCTGGGAAAATTGGACAGCCACATGCAGAAAAATGAAACTGGACCGCTTTCTTACACATGCACAAAAATAGACTCAAAATGGATCAAAGACCTAAATGTGGAACAGGAATCCACCAAAATCCTAGTGGAGCAAACAGGCAGCAACCTCATAGACCCTGGCTGCAGCAAATTCTTGTTAGATGTGTCTCCAAAAGCAAGAGAAGCAAAAGCAAAAACAAACTATTGGGATTTCATCAAGATAAAAAGCTTTTTTGCACAGCAGAGGTAACTGTCGACAAAACCAAAAGACAACTGACAGAATGGGAGAAAATATTTGCAAATGTCTTATCATATAAAGGGCTAGTCTCCAAGATCTGTAAGGAAGGCAATTAAGCTCACCACTATATCACCAATGCTGCACTCCAAGATCTATAAGGAGTTTATCAAACTTAACACCCAAAAAACAAATAATCCAGTCAAGAAATGGGCAGAAAATATGAACAGACATTTCTCCAAAGAAGACATATAAATGACCAACAGACATAAAAAAATGCTCAACATCACTTGGTATCAGGGAAATACAAATCAAAATCACAATGAGGGATGCCGGGTAGCCTTCTTCTCCCTCTGCCTGTATCTCTGCCTCTCTGTCTCTCTCATGAATAAGTAAAATCTTAAAACAAAACCACAATGAAATACCACCTCACACTACTCAGAATGGCTAAAAGTAACAAGTCAGGAAATAACAAATGTTGGTGAGGATGCAGAGAAAAGGGAACCCTCTAACACTGCTGGTGGGAATGCAAGCTGGTGTAGCCACTTGTAAAACAATATGGAGGTTCAAGAAGTTAAAAATAGAGCTACCCTATGACCCAGCAGTTGCACTACTAGGTATTTATCCCAAAGATACAAACCGCGATCCCAGGTAATACCTGCATTCCAATGTTTATAGCAGCAATGTTCACAACAGTCAAACTATGGAAAGAGCTCAGATGTCCATCGGCAGATGAATAAAAAAAATGTGGTGTGTATATAGATATACGTACACTATATATGTACACAATGGAGTATTACTCAGCCATCAAAAAATGAATCTTATCATTTTGCAATGACATGGATGGAACCAGAGGATATGCTAAGCAATATAAGTCAATCAGAGAAAGCATTATCATATGATTTCACTCACATGCAGATTTTAAACAGGATCATAGGGGAAGGGAGAGAAAAATGAGACAAAATCAGAGAGAGAGAGAGAGAGAGAGAGAGAGAAATCATAAGAGACTCTTAACTATAAGAAACAAACCGAGGGTTGCTTGAGGGGAGAAGGGTGAGTGGATGGGGTAACTGAGTGAAGGGCATGAAGGAGGGCACGTGATGTAATGAGCACTGAATGTTGTATACAACTGATGAATCACTGACCTCTATCTCTGAAAATTATAATACACTGTATGTTAATTGAATTTAATTAAAATAAGATTAAAAAGAAAAGAAATTTTGGGGGCTCCTGGGTGGCTCAGCCAGGTAAGTGTCTGCCTTCATCTCAGGTCATGATCTCATAGTGCTGGGACTGAGTCCCACACTGGGCTCCCTGCTTAGCAGAGGATCTGCTTCTCCCTCTCCCTCTGCTGCTCCCCCTACCTGTGCTCTCTTTCAAATAAATAAATAAAACCCTTTTGTTTTTTTTAAGCAATTTTGGATATAGGGCTGAGCAATCTGTTCTAGGAAGCCCTCCAGGGGGTTTTGATGCTCACTATAGTTTGAGCACCAGTGGCTTAAAGGAGAAAAGTTTAAAAAGTTCAAAACACTTCCACTTAACATATTCCGTCCCCAAATAATCCAGACTTTCCTATCCTGCTGTATCTTCTAACAAGTTACATATTTAACTTAAAATTTAAGTTTATCCACATAATTTCAAGCTACTTCCTCAGAGCCTTCTATAGGTGCCACACAAATTCCAGACGTAGGCATGTAGGCATTCTCTCTCTCTTTTTTAAGATTTTATTTAATTGGGGATGCTTGGATGGTTCAGATAATGTCCCTGGGTCCTTGGATCAAGTCTCACACATCAGGTTCCCCATAGGGAGCCTGCTTCTCCCTCTGCCTATGTCTCTGCCTCTCTCATGAATAAATAAAATCTTAAAAAAAAAAAGATTTTATTTGAGAGAGAGAGCACAAGCTGAGGGAGGGACAGAGAGAGAGGGAGAAACAGACTCCCTGCTAAGCATGGAGTCAGACATGGGGCTTGATCCCAGGACCCTGAGATCATGACTGAGTGGAAACCAAGAATTGAGTACTTAACTGACTAAGCCACCCAAACACCCCAGACTTAGACACTCTCTTAAAATAACTTCTCTACCTATTAAAAAAATATGTAAGGCTCAGCTCTTGCTTTTCTTTTCTTTTTTTTTTAAATATTTTTTTTTATTTATTCATGAGAGATACAGAGAGAGAGAGAGGCAGAGACACAGGCAGAAGGAGAAGTGGGCTCCATGCAGGGAGCCCGACGTGGGACTCGATCCCAGGTCCCCAGGATCAGGCCCTGGGCCAAAGGCGGTGCTAAACCGCTGAGCCACCCGGGCTGCCCAGCTCTTGCTTTTCTTTCTTAGAATCCTAAAGTACAGAATCATATGAATTTGCCTTTTTGTAGGTCAATATGGCTGAAATATCAGCAGTCTCATGTGATTCAACCTAACAAAATGTTGGGGCCATGACAGCATTGGCCTTACATTAGTACTTCATAACTTTGTGTGCTTCTTGTATTTCCAACTTAGATGCAAACTGAGAATAGAATAGCTTGTGTTTCTTTTCCATTTCCTTCAGAAAATGGCCCAAGACTCTGGATATGGTGGCCACTCAACTGTTAAAACAAGTGACAATAATTCATTGTAAAAAGGAGAACCAAATGAAAGCACACACGTACACATAAAGGTGAAGAAACAAACAGAAAAATCCTTGACTTCAAACCTGGCTGCAAAGCAATCAAATGTATATTTGTTGATGCCTATTATGTTTCCAGTATGATGGTTTTTTTTTTTTATTTTTTTAAAGTATGATGGTTTAAAACAAATTTAAATTATAATATCTTTCTTCCTTGAAATTAGGTTGAAAACACAAGACTTTCAAATATTAAGAAAAGTGCTGATAATGAAATATAATCATATATGGAATTTATAATATAGTGAAAATGGTACTGGACAGTTCAGATATTTTCTAAGATGCTGATCTAAGTATAAAAACCTTATATCCATTCCACAGAATCATGTGCAGTCAGTAAAAGTGATAGCTGCCATTTATCAGTAAAGAAATAGAGTAAGGAATAATTGAATAGTGATAACATAAAAATAACTAGGTACATTGATATAAGAAGTTGTGTAGGACATATTACTCGGAATAAATGGTATTTAACATTATATACAGCAAAATGCCATGATATGCCATAGGTATCATAGATACACATACATAAATAATAATCTAAGGGGTGAAGATTCTGGTAATGGGGGAAGAGAGGGAGACATACATTTCATTTTCCTTCCTTATACTGACTGAATTTACAAATGATTTTTATTACTTTGATTCAGATACAAAAAATAGAGCTGACATTAGAAAATAGTTGGGAGTAATATTAAATGAAAAAAGTAGTCCCATAAAACTAGCATGAAAGTGCACTGGAACTAGACAAGTGGACATGAACAGACATTTCTGTTCTGAGAGACTAGACAACTAGACATGACCCTGAGATCATGACCTGAGCCAAATGCCATCAAAGTGCTAAGGAGATTATAGATTTTTATTATTTTATTATTATTAAAGATTTTACTTATTTATGCATGAGAGACACACACACACAGAGAGGCAGAGACACAGGCAGAGGGAGAAGCAGGCTCCATGCAGGGAGCCCGACATGGGACTCGATCCCCAGTCTCCAGGATCAGGCCCTGGGCCAAAGGCAGGCACTAAACCACTGAGCCACCGGGGCTGTCTGAAGATTATAGATTTTTAAAAAATACTTTCTAATTCTCAATATGTTGGCAATATAA